TGTTTGGAGATGGTGTTTCATGGCTGGTGTTCTGGGAAAGACCAGAACAGATGCTATGCCACCATCTGCAATGAAAAGCAGAGAGAAACAGTGCAAGGTCCCTCCAGTAAGGCTGAAGTGCGTCTGTGCTTTTTCCAGCTGACGCTTCTTAATGGTATAACAGCACAGGACAAAAATGAAGTCAAACAAAAGCACACCCCCCCAAGAACAAAGGACCCAAAAAAGCATGACCTGTTTAGGAGGAAATCCTGCCCTTCCACCTTCATGCAGCTGCAGGTGGCAAATTGCCAGCAACTTCTAAATATGACTCTTTGACCCAACGCTAAGTGACATGCTTTCTGTCCATGCTCTTATCTGGCAGCAGGGAAGGTTTCTGAGTTGTGATCAAAGAATGCTGCAATTGGGTGGCAAAGATAGCTATTTCATTAGCATTTGAAACCTCTGACACTGCAGCCAGATGTGCAGTTGTGTTGGTGAACGTTTTAGATCTGAGAACTACAGTCAGATGCTGTAGTCACAGCCGTTTCAGCTGATGATGGTGCAAGCTGAGTAGCAATATGTGTAGACTGTCCCCTTGGATGAGGTGTAGGAAGCAGTGGACTGCTGAGATGTCTTCTGAATGAAAAATCGGTGGGCAGTCATTAGACTGTTAATTTTAGTAGAAATGCCTGACCTATGTATTATGGAAGTAGTCTTGCTCTTATGGCCTCTTTTGACCTCCTACCTTTTTTATGGCTGCGTCTAGCCTCCAGAGACCAACTCCTTCTGCCTTTGTTGCTAGTTACTGGTGAGTCTTCTTTCTGAGATGCCATGGCATGCTCTTTATTGCAATACCATCAGCATATGTACCTTGGTAGCAAATGCACTTGTTTTTGTGAAATGTATCGTAGAATCACAGAATGTTTTGGGTTGGAAGGGACCTTTAAAGGTCATCTAGTCCAACCTGTTGTGTTCATTCCTTGCTCTCCCTTTCTCTTCAGTACAGGCCTAAAATGTTGTCAGGTTTACCAAAGCAACTGTGTTTTTGGGTGTTTCTCTTTAGTAAAACACCAAGACAATTTACTGAAAAAAATAATTAAATACCTCAACTTTAATTGCAATAAGGGCATGGTTTTTTTCAGCAGTAAGTCAGGTTAAACTTAAGTTGCATGTTTTAGTATGAATATTTCCTGTGTTTAAATGCAATCTTAGATATCAGCAGAACTACTTGCGCCCAAGGATTAAATGGCCAAAATATTTATTTCTTTAAATGTTTTAAAACGTAAAACAGTTTATTTGTTGCTTAGGAGAGCAGCAAGCAGGGCTGTGTGGCTCTGCTTTAGGAGGTGTTGTAAATGCAGCTGAATGATACAAATGTGTAGAGTCAAAGGAATAATTTTCTTGGCTTTGTGAGTCTTATTAGTTGGTATGTGCTGATCATGTTGCATTCAGCAGATACTGATTTTGCATATTTTCACTTTAAAATCAGCGAGTAGTGACAAGCATATCCACAGTTACTGGCTATATGCTGAAGTATGGCATGAAGTCTGTGCGCAGACCCAACAGGAGCAGAGGCTCTGTGCTTTACCTCCAAGGAGGAAACTCAGTCCCAAGAAACACCCCACAGGTGGCAGCAGCCCTGCTGCCGGCCTGACAAGGTTTTAATAAAATTCCTGCACGGATACTCTCGGAGTGATCTGGCATGCATTGTTTCTGGGCCGAAACCCGCCTCAAAATGTGGCTGCTTGCTTTTTGCATCATTCAGGCCAGGTTTTGGGAGGCTTTGCTGCAAAGTCCCTCTGAAAACCGTGGCTGAAGGCATCTCGCAGCATGCCGGGGCCAGCGGTGCTGCCGAGTCCCCCTGCTGCTGACAGCCACACTGCTTTGCCGGCTGCCAAGATCCACTGCTGAAACTATATTTTTTTATCAGGTCCTATTTGCGTCTGGCAAAGATTTGTAGACACAACTTCATTAAAAGCAGTGCATATTTTCACAAGATTTACCTCTTCAACACTTTTTCCAAGTTAGTAAATCATAGCTTCTTTAATGTTCTGCTGGCTGCGTGAAAAACAGGAATTTATGTAACAAGCTCTGAGCCACAAACCTTTTCCTGTTAGGAAAATTTTTTTTTCATTGCTGGCAAAGTTAGGAGACAGCTCTGTTACTCAAAGAGCGACCTCAGATGTCCTCAGTACAATAATACCAGATTATAACATTTTTGATGACTAAGGAATAGCAGCTATTTCTTAAATATTTAACACGTCTGTTGCAGAGAAGAGGGAACTGAGCCTTAGCACGGTATTTTCTTTGCCTGATGTTTTGTGTTTGATATGCTTATTTTGATAGTCAACAGTGAGCCTGAGCCAGCTGGGTATGTTTACAAAATATAGTAAAAAAAATGAACTGGCACAGGAGGTTTTTTAATCAACAGACATGCAGAACAACTTTCTTGCGACATTTCTAGAGCTGGACTTGTGTCAGCCTGGGGTTCGGCTGTGGCCCTTGAGTGAAAACAAGGGCCTGTGCCAGGGCAGCCTCACGAGTCTTCTCAGTCAGCCTTGGGGGCCTGCAGGCAAGTCCAAAGATGGATTTTTGGGCTTACTCTCCCTATGTGTTAGCTGCACCTGGTTAAAATAAAATTTCAAGGCATTCCCTAACACTCTAGCTAGATAGAGGATGGGATTTCAGTTGCAGGGTTACATGCAGTGAAGAGATAAAGTCCTACATTAGTCAGTCAATATGAGAATGGCTTCCTTTCAAAATGGAATAAGGAAACACTCAAATTGTCACTGATGTTTGTTTAACTGGGATAATTTGTTAAAGATGGTTCTCTGGAGGGGAAGGAGAGGTTGGAAAGGCTACTGGGTTTAGGCACATGGTTTGACTCCTTGCTGTGCTTGTTGAACAGCAAGCAGCCATGAGGCCATGTTCTGCCATTTTCTGCTGTCAAAGAGCACCTTGTGCCCCTGTTTGGGGTCAAGCTGCACTCCTGTGGGTGTAACCTCTGGACACTGCTGCCTGTAAAGGTGTTACAGGACTGTAATACCACCTCCTTGCTGCCCTCATCTGAAGGTCTCCTCTTTGACCTCAGAGTAACCATTACTGTTGAGCTCTGCAGGTGGCCAGGCCTGCTTTGGCTGGTTGGCTTTCCAAGGTCCACAACGTGTCATGGCCCTTGCAGGGAATTTGAGCCTGTGGTCTCTGATTTGAGCCAGGCCTCGTGAGATGACTTTTTTCAGTTGGCATGCCTCCGTATGGTCTTTGCTCCTTTTCTTCTGTCAGCTGGATGTATAGGCAATGGGAAAAGTTACGCATCTTTGAGACAGCAGATGTACACAGGAGGACAGGTAGAGTAGAGAAGGTGAAGGAAGACATTTCTGGAGATGCTGCTGTCACAGGCAGCATTCTGGCTTGGGACATAGAGCAAAAGCAGCCAGAGACCAGAGCAGTGGCTGTGTCCGGTTTGCCTCACAAGACATGCAAAGCTCCACGAGCTGTATCATCCACATGGTTTGGTGCTGTAGTGGGTCTTGGGGATCAGGTTAAAAACTTAAGAGAAGTCAGATAGGAGGAAAAAGGTAGGAAAACAGGAAAGACAGAACATGGCTTTTGTAGATCTGGCAGCCATTTAGTGTTTTGAGATAATTGGCCTGCTGGCTTGCTGGTCAAGATCAGCCTTACTACTGCTTTCTAGAAACAGTCTTTCCATTTTTGCTCCCGCAAATTTCTCATTAGACAGCTTGCTAAAAATGACTGCAAATGGAAGGCAGCTACTGTATCACTGATTTCTCTGCCATTAAGGTCTAATTTCTGATCTACCTATTTCATGTGCTGTTTTGTTGTTCCCTCCTACTGTTCTACATGAATTTCAATCCTAGTGAAGACCATGGATCCCCATGTAGACTGTGCTACTGTCCCACCCTGCTACCAGCATCTCTGCATGCTTCTTTCAACACTCTTTAACTTGTTAGTAGGCCTTTTGTTAGTAATTATGTCAAAATATAGGACAGCTTTTCTATTGATATGATGTTCCTTACATGTGCTCAGCAGAAAATTACATGAGGAAAAAAAAAAGTTTATCTACAGCTTGGTAATGCAAAGGGCAGTCTCTTGTTATCAGGTCAACCCATGGGCTTGAATTTTGGATTTTTTGATATTTTTTTCTTCTTCTTCTTTTTTGATTTAAGAACAAAACATGAAACATTACTTGTGGCTGAGGAGATAATGAAAAGCTTCAGTACCCGTGGTCAGTCTTGGCACAAAATATCTTGTGCCCTCAGGTATTAGAAGAATCAATTTTGCAAATTAAAATGTTGATTTTGAAAGAAAAATGTAGTTTTAAGACTGCAGTTCTGAATCCAGTTTTGTCTCTGCTGTTTGCATTTCTTTGTCCCTTATGATGTCTTAGGCAATTTGTAATGTTTGTTTATAAAACTTAGAACTTAATCCTTAACTAATTTTCTTTTATGTGTTTTCTCACATAAGTAATAAAAAAATCACTAATATTCAGTGGCAGTACTCACAGGCTGGCATGTTTACAAGGTCCAGGGATGTGCACAATGAGATGCCATTATAAGGACCATAGAACAGGATTTAGCATTCCTGAACTTTGTGTAAAATAATAATAAAAAAATCCCTAAATGCGATCAGGTTCAGCTCATTAGAGTGAAGCTGATAATGAGATCTTCAGTCATCTTCTTGGTCTTCTGGTATATTTTGTCTCCTTTATGAGGAGTTTGTATTTCAGAACAGCTCCTTCAGTATTTTATTTATCTCTTTATAATGTCAGATGTGATTGGGCCACATGACAGACGAATTGGCATGGCAACTCTCTGCAAGCTTGTTTCAGACAGTTCTAAGTGGTGAGCTGATAAAAGATGTTTCCAGACTGGCATGTTTTCTCATTTCATGATTACCCCAGGTTTTCTAACAAAATGAGAGTATGTTTGCAAAGACAAATACTAGTACACCATAAACCAAGCATGTTTTCTCAATTTCTTACACCTTATTTTGTTTTTTAGAATTCAATCCGTCACAACCTGTCTCTGCACAGCAAGTTCATCAGAGTGCAGAATGAGGGAACAGGGAAGAGTTCCTGGTGGATGCTCAATCCTGAAGGAGGAAAGAGGGGCAAATCTCCTAGGAGGCGAGCAGCATCCATGGATAACAACAGCAAGTTTGCCAAAAGCAGAGGCAGAGCTGCCAAGAAAAAAGCATCCCTTCAGTCTGGTCAAGAGGGAAATGGTGACAGCCCTGGATCGCAGTTCTCGAAGTGGCCTGCAAGCCCCAGCTCTCACAGTAACGATGACTTTGATAACTGGAGTACATTTAGACCTAGAACTAGCTCTAATGCTAGTACGATCAGCGGAAGACTTTCTCCTATTTTGCCAGAGCAAGATGATCTTGGAGATGGGGATGTGCACTCCATGGTATACCCATCATCAGCCACCAAAATGACTTCTACTCTACCCAGCCTTTCAGAGATGAGTAATTCTGAGAACATGGAAAATCTTTTGGATAACCTTAATCTTTTGTCACCTAATACGTCAATGACTGTATCAACCCAGTCTTCATCTGCTACTCTGATGCAGCAAACACCAGGTTACTCGTTCGCATCCTCGACCACGAGTATTGGTTCACCAAATCCAGACTACAGAAAATTTACGTATGCTCAAGCTAGCATGAACTCTTTGCCCCAGATTCCTATGCAGACTCTTCAAGACAGTAAATCAAGCTATGGATCGATAAGCCAATATAACTGTCCCGCAGGACTTCTGAAGGAGTTACTGACTTCCGATTCACCGCCGCACAATGATATCTTGGCATCAGTAGACACTGGTGTTTCCCAGGCTGGTGGCAGGGCGCTGGGCCAAAATGTGTTGATGGTTTCTAACTCGGTGATGCCAACTTATGGCAGTCAACCACCCCACAGCAAAATGATGAACCCTAACGCCCGCCCACACCAAGGACATAACCAGCCAACACCTGCGGTTAATGGTCGTGCCTTGTCACACACAGTGAACACCATGTCACATACTTCAGGTCTAAATCGCTTGTCGACAGTGAAGACTTCGTTACAAGTGCCTATGAGTCACCCGATGCAGATGAACGCTATGAACCCGTACGCCCCTGTTAACAGTTGCAATGGCTATGGAAGGGTGGGGATTGTTTCCCTCCACCAGGAGAAGCTTCCCAGTGACTTAGATGACATGTTAATTGAGCGGTTGGACTGTGACATGGAGTCGATTATCCGTAATGACCTTATGGATGGAGAGACGTTAGATTTTAACTTTGACAGTGTATTGCCTAACCAAAGTTTTCAGCACAGTGTAAAGACAACCACACACAGTTGGGTGTCAGGCTAGGATGTGGTAGGAGGTAAGCTGTGCTTTTTGTAATAAATCTGAAAAGCAACTGACAGGAAAAGAGATGTCAAAATGCTTAAAATCTGGGTGGTCTTCTGTGTTGGTATGTGAAGTGCCTCTATTGCAGTCAGTCATTTTCCAGTCCTTTATTAGTTCATAAATCAAGTTTGCACTGATGCATTAGGATTGCCATGTACCAACTTCTGTTACTTCATGTGGAGCACTAATGTTTTGCTATTAATACTTTAAACAAAAAAACTTTCTGGTAACTAGCAATTAATGAGTATTTTTTTTTTCCTATTTAAGTTATCTTAAAGCTAGTTTGAGCATATTTTAATAGGTTTAATCTTTTGGTGTGAATGTTAATTTGTTCTTTTTGTTTTGTTTTGTTTTGTTTTCTTCCTAGGCTTCGGTTAAATTCTCCAGACTTGTCTGACAGCAGGAACTGAGAAAAGCAGTACAAAGATGTCCTTCGCCTTCCTTTTTAATTTTCTTGACGAAGCTGTGTGCATGCACTAGCTTTTTTGGGGGTCTTTTTTTTTTCCTTTTTTTCTTCCTTTCATCAGAGTTGGCAGCAGAGAGAGTATTTTCCTGTACAGGATGTTTGCCCAAGGTTTGCAGGTTATGTGCTGCTGTAGATAAGAACTGTGCCATTGGAAATTTCATTACTCTGAAGTGCCAAATTCACTACACCATATAATCACAGCAAGGACTCTTACTTACATCATGTTGTGCTTTCGGTTTTGTACAGTATGATCTATAGAAGAATAATTGTTTTTTAAGACTATCTGTTTTGGTCCAAGAAAAGTTTATAAACTTTTGTAAGAATACTGTGATGATCTCATGCCCTAAGTAAGTTTAACCTTCGTTGATGTTACCTGTGTTCTGATGAATTGTGATAACTGTGGACTTGCCTTGCAGCAGTACAAACTGCATTATTTTACTCAAAATTTCCACACATTTCATATGGGAACAGAATAGCCTGTTAAATATCCTACTAAACTCACTGACTATTCAAAGCAAGCAGTAGGTTAAATGCCATTTGATAAGTTACCTGTATTCATGTAAATTTATGCAAGAATATATCTGGATTTCATTGTCAGACTAATGACTTTATTGTTGGACTTAAGATAATTTTTGGAATACTTGCCAAGCTATTTTTCTTAGAATTAAAGTCTACTTTTGTTACATAGGCAATTAAAAAAAAAATCTGAGATCTGGCAGCATTCATAACCTCTTCATTTTGTACAGTATTTTAACTGGATTAAGTACATGTTTTTATAAATTTCCCTAGCACTTGGGAGTGCTAATAAAGTAAACGCTTAATAAGTATCTTGAATACAAAACATTTCTGGCCCTTTTTTTTTGTTGTGTGATGTATAAATATAGACAAGTTATGTTTAGGAACTATTTAATCAGTTTTATATATGCATTTTTAGAAATGTCATCTGCTTCTACTATCATTTTAACTCTGACTACCACAAAGTGTTAAGTATTCATTGTTAGATGCTTGTACAATGCTTCACATTTATATTTATTTCATGGAGGTCTCATAATGTTTGTGGACTCAAAAGCAGGACCTTTCGGAAAAAATCCATAATTTTAGAAAAATTAATGACAAAATTGTAATTTGTCTTAATTGGCAGTAGTTTTAGGGTCTGTCAGTGTTTCTATTGTAATGCAGTATGTTTGAAGAGGCAAAAATGCTACTTTTCAGTGGGAGCCTAAAACTTTTGTGGCTCCCCTATAACAGGACAAAACATTACTTTTTTTTCAATAAGAAAGATAAAGTAAGTGGAAAAATTATACAAATACCCAAGCTTTAGGGTAGGGGAGAGCATTAATGATAGAGGCCTTGTTCCTGTGGAAAAAATTCTACTCTTGTTGGAGTGGGCCCTCTGACAACTATCTGAACATTTTCAGGATTGGGTTTTGGAGAAATGATTTCTGATTTTTTGTAATCGCATAATGCTGCTTTCATGGATGTGTGGATAACAGGCCTCACCTTTCTTTTTGTTGGTTGCTACACATAGTTTGTGTTACAGAAATCCTTGAAGGTTTGTTATGCACTGTGAAGATGATCAGTTTTTGTGCTAGGGCTAGGTGTTGTGGAGAAGAGGAGAAATAAGTATTTTTTCATAGAATCATAGAATGTTTTGATTTGGAAGGGACCTTAAAGATCTCCCAGTCCAACCCCCCTGCCATGGGCAGGGACACCTCCCACCAGACCAGGTTGCCCAAAGCCCCATCCAACCTGGCCTTGAACACTTCCAGGGAGGGGGCATCTACAACTTCCCTGGGCAACCTGTGCCAGTGTCTCACCACCCTCACAGTAAAGAATTTCTTCCTAATATCTAGTCTAAATCTACCCTCTTCCAGTTTAAAACCATTCCCACTTGTTCAGTCACTACCTGCCCTTGTAAAATGTTCCTTCCCAGCTTCCCTGTGGGATCCCTTCAGGAACTGGAAAGTTGCTGTGGGGTCCTCTGGAGCCTTCTCTTCTCCAGGCTGAACAGCCCCAACTCTCTCAGCCAGTCTTCACAGGGGAGGTGCTCCAGCCTCTGATCATCTTCATGGCCCTCCTCTGGACCCACTCCAACACCTTGATGTCCTTCTTATATTGAGGGCCCCAGATCTGGATTCAGTACTCCAGGTGGGGTCTCACCAGAGCACAGTACTGTTTTGTTTTTTTACTGGTTTTTGTTTTGTCTGTGTAGCCCACAACTGGTAAAATGTTGTAATTGAAATGTATCTTCCCTGTAGTGATGGTGTATGGTGGAAAAAGAAATAGGATTTTCCATGATAATGAAGTTTAGTAACAAACCCTATATTTAATGGTCTTGTCATGACTGTCCTAAGGCTCCGCAATGTATTATTGATGTGCTAGCATTTAGCTCCCTGTTGGGCTTAAATCACTACTAATTACAGCTGGTCCTACTTTTTTAGATATCTTATTACAGTTGCCAGCAGTTCCAGAGATTGATGTTAAGCTGTCCTGTGCTAGAGGATCTCCCTCAGTGTGAAATCGCTCTTTGAACTTCTGTTGAGCAAAACGAAATGTTCTTAGTGCTGAAGCCTCAATGAAGCCGCCTGCTTTTGCAGGTAAATATCTCTAGTAGCATCTTCACCATTGAATTAGTAGTCTCTGAAACGTGATGGGGAAATCCTGGCAGTGGAGCAAGGGGAGAACTCACATGTGGGTTTCTGAAGATCATTCTTTCTGTTTTGTGTGCAAAAATGTTGGCTCCCAAATGGGCACTGGTATGCCCAGGCTAAAGTAGTCATAAAATTCACCTCTACATGCAAAGAAATCAGTACTTAATGCTATACTCCATGGGGCTGCAGCTGAAAATGCTGCATGTAACAATATACCTCCTGTTTACTGCTACTGTACTACTTCTGTATACATATATTTTTTTCATTTCCTTTTATAACTATGAATAACATAAATGTAGCCATTCCTTAACTACAGCAGTTTGTAGAAAGCCCCTTTTAATGATTGTGAGAAAGCAGTTGTAGATAATCAGAGGGCTGTGTGGTCAATTTTTATTTTTTTTATTATTTTGTGGTGCCATTGTAATATTTTGCGATTGTAATCCTGGAATACTGTGAAGTCTGGTGAAGGGGCATGTTGTCTGCCTTGGAAACAAACATTATGTGACCTCTAGTAATAAATCTTTTTTTTAATTAAAAGTACCAAGTTTCTGGAGTAACTTAGTTTGTCAGAATTGTTGTAAATGATTGGTTTGTGAATTGTGCAGATGATCTTACCTATGCAGCCTTGTTTTTGACTTTTTCTGGTTTGTACTGTTATTAAAAGTTTATTGTATTATAGAGCTGTTCAGATATTTTAAATATAAAGATGTATTGTTTCCATAATATAGCTATATGATATATGTTTAGGTAGTAGATGCATTAATTGGAAAGCTCTGCTTTGATATACTGACAATTTGCCTACAATTATAAGCAAAAGTCATATTGCTTATTACTGGCTTAAGTCAACAGAGCATCCCTAAGAAGAGAAGTTAAAATTGGACCAATTATAAAACAGTATAAAATTTGCACTTGTTAAACCACTGGATGTATGTTAGTACTTTTTTATTTTTTTTACTGATTTGAAATTCGTATTTTCATTATGAAATTGCTAGGCTCCTTAATTTATGACTGATTTTAAATAAGGTATTCTCATTATTATTATTATTTTGGTAATCATCATGTGAAATGCAGCATGGTTTATGCAAGCAAAAGGCAAATTACTTGGCATTAAAACTGGCCTCCTTTTCGAGGGTGTTCCACAAACCAGCAATATTGTGAGAGATTGGCATGTACATACTGCTAGCTCCACTTGTGAGTGGGGTGACAGCTCTTCAACGCTTCACTGCTCTGACTTAGTCACATTGAAGAATTAAAATTCATACGTGGATATTTTCAGAAAAAAGTGCCTGATGTACTTCTACAGACACACGAGAACAATCCCTGACAGTTTGTTGTATAAAGCCATAAATGTATATAAATTGTGTTTAAAAGGTTTTGTGTCCTTTCTTGTATACGGAGAATGAGATTTGTACCAGGATTCTACTTGTGATTAGTAATCCTTCCACTCAGATGTTGTAATCACTTTCCTTACGGCGTAATCTTTTTAATGATGATGATCCCATTTGGACAATCCTGATGGCATTAGCAATTTTATATGGAAAAATACCTCATGGTACCAAGTCTTGCCTGGCAAGATGGTACCATATTAACGGGCAAACACTAACTGCAGAATAGTTAACAAATTTTCCATTACTTGGTATAAAGGAATTTCTCTCTCTTGGCATTGCTTCTGGAATTGGAACGGTAGCAGGTACAGGAACCTAATAGGGCTGTGTTACCAGTGTTTTATCACAACATAGTGTGCTAAAAGTAACTTGTTTACAAGTCTGTGGGACTAAACGCAAGAAGAATCCATGCCTGACTCTTAGGGCTCGCGAGAGATCTTTGTGTAGAGGCGCTTTGTTACTGGAAGCTGCATTAGGCAGCATCAGACCGTGTTGCCAGTGCTTCAACAAGCCTAGTTCAGAGAAAATTACAAAAGAAGTCCTGAAATCCTTTCAGAATGGGTATTTGTAAGTATAAGTTCTTAATAAAATTGCTATGACATGCGATGGTAATTAGTGTATCAGAATGTTATGTAATACATTGTTAAAGAAGAAAAAAAAATGGGACGCTAGCATCCATCAAACCGCAGGAAAGAATTAGTCTTCTAGTCCAAATTACACGTTAGATCCTAATGCTATTAAATGTGGGAGGGAGCCTGCTCTGGAGAGACATTTTTCTCTTCCCTCTGCTCCCCCTGTTAAAGCAAAACAGTTCACAAAGTTGTCTCGGCCCTCTTTTCCTTCGTTTTCCCTCCTTGTCTTCCTCAGCCCCTCCTGCCTTCCTGAAGTGCAGTACTTTTCTTGCAATAGGAGATTTTTCTTTGCCAAACATTTGGGCAATGTAGGCCAACATAGAAGGTACTGCTCCTTCCGCAGACGTGCTTTACGCTGCAGCAACAGGAGTGCTGATGTGAGTAAAGAGAGCAGAATGTCTTAATTTTTATATATTTTTTTAAATTTAGATTGTGTTTCAAAACAGAGCTGGAAGAAAGGAGAAGAGGCTGCCAAAACAGACAGCCAATAACACCCCCGCCACAGTAGTCTTGTGAGGCCCAGATCCCTGCTTGCCTGCAGGTGGGGAGGGAGGGGGGTGGCAGAGAGCAGGCGTTTAATGAATTGCTGGCAAAAATGCCAGTTTGATCTTAAAATGAGCAGAGGTAGACACAAAGAGCATGAAAGAACATAAGAGTATCATTGCACATAAAAAAAGGAATATTTAAAGACATTTAAAAAATAATTCTTCCTTGTACTTTGCAGTTCCATCTTTATTTTAGCTTTGCCCTTTTTTCTTCAGTGTATATTTTGGAAGCGTTTTTGCAATGCTACAGGAAACTGAGGATGTCTTCACTGATGCTTGGAAATCCTGACATCTGGAATGGGAGGGTTGTAAGATTCAAAGATACTCTCTTTGGGTGTTCATGGAGCTGTTGTTGGAAAGGATGCACATCTTAATTGGTACATGACTCTTTCCTGCTGTCGGGAGAGATAGTCAAAGCTTGTTTCTTGGGAAGGGACTGGCTAGCAATTTATGCCAACCTGGCAACAAGGGATTTGAATCTGCTGATCAAGCACAAAAACCTCAAAGCACCCTTGTGCTCTGAGTCAGTTCTGCATCAATGTAATAAACATGTTTTTATGCGGAAACATCAGCTATTTTGTCACATCAAATGATAAGCCAATTAAAAGTACAAATAGCATTAGATGTTGCTGGCATTTATCGTGCAGCTGGTGTGCAAAGATGGTTTTGTGAAGACCTTGAGAAGGAAAAACCTGCATTGAGCAGTGCCCATGGTCATGCCCACTGCTGGAATTGCATGCAAATCCCTGTTCATTACCTGGTGATGTTTTGCCTGAGGTAATGTTCTGGCAAGTGCCAAAATGATAGCTAAAATGAGGAGGCAGGGACAGCGCCCTATCTTATTTTATGTTTTTCTACTTGCTGTTGGACCCTGGGGCATTCAGAAATTTTGCATGTGTTTTTTTTGTGAGTAAACTTCTTGCGTGGGTGTTTATCACTGAGATGATGGGAAAAGGATGAGGGCTTCCTGCAGTACAACTGAAGGAGCAGTGCAGGGAGCTTCGAATGGGGGTATAATAGGGCTGTGGAGTGAAGAATCTGACAAGGAGCTTCTTCATAACTTGAAACCTCAACATTTTACATCCTTGCTGTGT